TGGAGCCAATTTTGGTAGATAGGAAACGAACGATAGCTGTCAGGTTGTGTCTGATTGGGATCAACCTTTTGCACTTAATTTATTTATTATAATTTTTTTTTTTCTTTTTCGTGTTCCTTTTGGGAAGATGTCATCGATTGATTTCGCTATGGAGTGCTGATCAGGACTGTTCAACCCTTTTTTGACCCAAAACGGTTGAGAACTTGTGAACTTGAACCAAACCAAGCGAAAACTGCGGATCCTAAACGAACACTCTCTAACACGTTTATCATCAACTTGCTGCTGACTAATATATAGATTTAGTCAAGCCTAAAAGCAGAGCTCCTGATTATATAAACTAAACTGCGATTTGAGACGGCAATACCGCAATGTATTGGCGGCTAGTTGAATAAAAATATATTCTTGTATTGGGCTCAGTCGCTTCGCAACTCCTTCCAATACCAGAATATATTTTCGCCCAACTAGCCGCCAATATATTGCGGTATTGCAGTCTCAAAATCGCATTTAGTTTTGTATCCCGAATTAACCATCCACCATGCTTTGAGAATACCAAACGAAAAACAACGCGACACTTTAGATTAAAATTTAAAATCCTAGTAAACGCGCGAAGAATATTGCCAATGATACCGGCACACCATGAAGTCTATTTGCTGGCGAGTTACTTGAATATTTCAACTTTTAAGCCGTAAATTGCTTTAAGAAATTAAAGAAATTCATTCGGTGTATGAAAGTTTTCCAAAGTATCGAGCAAAGAAAAAGCCGAAGAATTTAGACAAATTTATCGTTATTCAAACTCAAAAACTTTTCAAACAGTGGCTTCGTCATCTCGCGTGAGTTAACTCGCGCAGTAACTCACAAAACGGATGACTTTGAGTGATTAAAAACAGTTACCTGCCTTCCACGCTATAAAGTTCCCTTTTACATGAAATAGCTCGTAGATGACTTAGTGTGCAGTAAAGGTTGCCTGAACCGTGTAAACGTCCGTACGAACAGTCACGTGACAACCGAAATTTTTAGATCGATGGGTTGCCAAATTTTCTAAGGTATGGCGCTCCGCCCGCGCGCCGAAGGCGCGCAGGAGCTCCGCTATGAAAATTAAAGATTAAAACCTATGGTGTAGCATTGCTCATTCAAGAAGCAGATTTTGATGTTTATTGTCGGGTATATTGTCAGTAGATTAATCAGGTTAGTTTTTGCTTCATAGGGAACTTAAGCAACCACGACGGCAACGAGAACGCCACAAAACAAAAGGTTTAATGAGCAGAGCAATGGCTGTGCACGTGCGTTGCAAATCGTTGTACATTTCTTTGCCAACCTCTGCACAACAACGAAAAATAACTACGTTCTGCGTATTTTACAGAACGCGAACGACGGCGGCTATTTTTTGGTATTTTCATTTGGAATTGAGAGCTGGCGTTCCGTATATAGCTTGAGCAAGTTCTGAGGCCAATATGCGCACTGCACAGATCCAGACAATTGCGAAATTAAAGATGAAATATTTATTCATTTTCAACTAGGAAGTACTGACGCATTTGTAAATTGTACAAGAAAACATGCCGTCCCTCTGTCCCCCCATCCCCTTACAGTCACCCAGCATGTTGTGCTATATGGCCGTTGACTGCAGACAACCTATTCACGAGAAATCTGACCTGAATAAACCACAAAGTCGCAGTCTCCTGTATTGGCTTTGCTTTGTCAACTGCAGAAGTAACACAGGTTAGAAGAAAGTCGGCCTCTTCAGGACAATTATTTCCGCCGATATTGGCATTGGGTGAAACTGGCTGCATCTCTATCCTTTCATCTGTGAAACACTGCGCTTGGGTTGAGCCATCTCTGACTTTAGGGGCCTTTAAATTGTAAATCGCTGAACAAAAAACAGCTTCGGTTTTCCCTGGAGAGTTGGACAGTTTGTTGATGTGTACTCGGTCATCACATGTTCAAGGCTTGCCTTTCTTCCATCAACACCAGAAATATCATTATCTTGCCCAAGTGACATGATAATGAAGACAAATGAGTCGAAATCGCTGTGATCTTTCTTTGCAAATTCTTGGGCGACTTTGTACAATTGGAGCGTCTGAAGTCTTCGTCGGACTTGTACGTCAAAGAAAAGGCTCTTGAACAGGACCTTAAGCTGCTTCTCTACTTTAACCGCCATTGGTACGTTATTTATTAGGAGACAGATTCCACGCAGATGACCCACATTGATCCTGTAGTGGCTAAGTTGAGTTATCTCTGCGGAAAGATTACCAAGAAAATAGGCCCTTTGCAGCTAGACAATCACGTGACCTAATGTTCATAAAGTTATGGGCTATGACTTAAAGAATACCAAAAATGGAAAATGCATGTCGGCCAAGTTTGAGGTCCCTGGCATTAAATAATGAGATCTTATGACGGTTTGAATTTTTAAAAAATTAAGAAGATTTGTATGGAAAAAGTTGTCATTTTCCATAGCTTAGATATCCTCTAAATTTTCCGAAAATTCAACTGTCGTATAAACTTACGATTTAATGCCAGCGGCCTCAAACTTAGCCATTTTGCTATTTTCGATATGTTCTTTCTTATTTCTAGCATTTTTTTTTAAGTTATAGCCCATAATGTAAAATTTTTGAAGTAACAATTTTGTGACGTGACCCCAGCTGCATTCGAAAAATTCTGGTGTAGTGTGGTTTGGTGAGCTGTGCTGCGTTGCGTTCTAATTTGCTGTGCTGTGCTGTGCTGTGCTGTGCTGTGCTGTGCTGTGCTGTGCTGTGCTGTGCTGTGCTGTGCTGTGCTAGTGCTGTGCTGTGATACGTGGTATGGAGTGCTCTCGTGGCGTAATGTGCTGTGGATTGTGATGGGTGAGCGAGAGTCTTACAGAATACTCCATAGTAAATTTTCATTTGCAAACCTGGCTCTTGGTGATCTTTCTTCGCATTGAAGTCAGGCAAGACTTTCGAAAGCACTGAAAGAAACCGAGTAATAATTTATGTTACTGTCCCGAAAGAAAAGTAAAATTAAAGGCAGGTTTACAGATTTATTGCAGCAAAATGCTATCTGTTACCTAATAACGCGAATTACTTACGAATAACTTGTATTGCTAAAGGCTTTAATAAAACAATTGTTCCACTTGCGCTTGTTGGATATGAGGTGATTATGGTCAGCTCCCTCATATCTAACGCGCGATCGTGGAATAATTGTTACTACCTCAGTCGGTGAACCTTCGGGCACTTTCAATGATATTGGAAAATTTTCCGCGTACACATTAGTGGCATCCTCCTGGTAACCGAAAAGCCGGAACGGAAGTCGTCGGAAATCTTCGGTAGACTTTAAGGTCAAATCATTATCTATAGACTATTAGTATAAATCTACTAGCGTTCTATCACGAATGCCGTTCTCTGATTGGCCACGCTACTCACCATCTATTCTGTGATAGATAGTGAGTAGCGTAGCAGTGTGCCCTTGGTAACAAAAAAAAAAAGGGACGCTCCTTGGCGTTTTCAAGTATCTGTAAAGAGGATTTAGATAAAATTTTGAACGACTAGTAGATTTATACTAAAACAATTAGATTAGTCGCTCTCGACTTAAATGCGTTTTGTCAGGGTATTTGTCAACTTTTCTATCACGCGATAGAAATCTCGAGCTCATAATCTAATTGTTTAGTAGTACTGATCAGAGGTTAGCGAGGTGCGTTCGATACCCGGGAAAGGGAGGGAGTACTCTAGGAAGTTTGTCTACGGGGTTTGCTGCTGGGAATGTAAAACGCTTGGTCGATAGCAGGGGATATGCAGTTGGTATGTGACCATCTGACTGTAGGTTGGGTACCAGAAAAACCATTCCTATTCCATACTATGGATTTGGTTATCTAAAAAAAAAAAATTGAATAATCAGAAAGTTCAATTCTTTATACGAATAAATTTTTTGTATATCAACGATCACCTATTTTTCACCAAAATCCTGATGTCTATGCCCAAGAGAAGACTGCTTGAATAGCAGCGCCTACTCATTATTATGCCCATTTGTGGCATTTTCCTTCCCGGGTTGTCGAGTTGTGTATTTTTCAGGGTATTTGTTAACTTTTGAGTCATTTTCTAGCATCAAATATCAAAATACTAATGTTAACCGGCGCTGTGTTTAACTATAGCGGAGAATAACGTGCATTACGCTGTATTTCAAAATGTGAACGTTTTTAACTTACAGCAGTGAATTTCATTGAGCCTTGTACATATTTCCATGTCCTTTTCGCCGTTTGTTGTGCTAAGTTGGAATCTTCGCAATTTTTCTTAAGGTTAGTGAAGCTATGTTAATTGATTCGACCTTTTACGGTGGGGCCTAGGCTTGCTTTCCGCCGCTCTCTCGCGTCAGGTCTTTATTAGTTCGGGGGAGGAGCGCGGGCTCGTTTCCCGAACAGCGGCTGGAAATCGAGCCTAGGTGGGGCCTCGCACCCTTATTCTCACAGAGAAGTTAAATCGCCTGAGAAAAGCAGCTGAGTTGACAGATCACAAAGTGGCATGTTACCGGGACAAAATGCAGTGTTTGTCTCGGGGAGAATACAGCACTGCACAGCTTTCTGATGTTCTGATAAGTAGCCTAAGCCATTTCATTTAGTAATGGTTCGAATAAATCGACACAACGTCACTAACCTTGGTAAAAATTGCGTGTTTCATCTAATCAACCCCCCCCTCCCGCCGCCCGCCCCTCCAAAAAAAGAATATTTGATAGGCTATGAAAATGGGCACAGGTAAATTGTTAACTTAAAGCACTGGAAAACAAACATTACGTACAGGCTCTTACTTGTACGTACAGAACTATAGAGGTACTATTTGAGGAGCATTTCGGAAGCATTGGGGGAAAATAATTGTGTGTTTAACATAACGTCATTTTAAAAAATACAATGATAATTCAGTAGCTTAAAATTTATTGAGGATTGATCATCAAATACAGAGGCGCATTACTCACCGTTACCTATCGCTTGTCCCAGTCTAATCGCACAGCATGGATTCCTATTTACTGGTTCAACCATGAGAACGGGTTCCTCTACCGGAGGACTTGGATTAAAATAACCTACAAAACACCACCATTACATTCGAGTTGCATCCCTTGATATATTATTTTGTTCTGTAATGAAAATTAGCGATATGAAAAGTGAACGACGTTTCGATGACTCCATGTCATCAATATCAAGTTCGAAATACATGATAAATATGAATAGGAAAAACGGTGTGAAAATATTATCCAGAAGGGGGCGCAAGATCGTTCGCGCTGGAGAGAGACTGTGAAGGCCTTATGCGTCCGATGGCGCGATGAGGACTGATGATGATGATGATGAGGAGGAGGAGGAGGAGGATGATAATGATGATGACAATATTTAGGGAATAAAAAGGGTGTTAGAGTATTCCATTGTTATGTAAAGAGTTTGGCGCGAACTGAATCCGACTGCGTGTTAAGTTTTAGTTTTATGTTCCTGGTGAACAGCATCTCGTAGATCATCTCGTAGATCAAGCAAGTTCTGTAGAAAAACGGCAGCACCATTGATGACAACAACAACAGTACCACAAGGAATAGCAACAGTAACAACATTTGAAGACACCATTGATCATCGCAGTGATACACACAACTTAGGCAGCTGTTAAATTAAAGCCTGAAAAAAATTTAGGCTTGAACGGGATTCGAAGTCATGACCTCTGCGGTACCGGTACAGTGTTCTACCAACTGTGCTATCAAGCCAACTGGGAGCTGGTCATATTGTGAGTTTGTAATATACCGGTAGATGCTGAAGAATGCAAACGAATATATGAAAGATCATATATTAGCTTATATTTGAACGGCGGAGAAAGATATGAAGACATCAATGATCATCACTGTTCTACACAACTTAACCAGCTGTGAAATTAAAGCGTGGAAAAAATTCAGGTTTGAGCGAAATTCGAACCCATGACCTCTACGATACCGGTGCAGTGCTCTACATTCTGAGTTCGTAATAATCTATACCCGTAGATGCAAATAAAAATATGAAAGATCATAGATTTGATCATATATTACGACCTCACAACGTGACCAGCAGCTGGCCACAGCAACTGCAGCAACAACAGCAATAGCAACAGCAATAGCAACTTCTCATCAATTAAACCTTGTAGAATTTTGCTGGCAATGTCGTTTCATTAATACCTTTTAATACCTTTTATTGGAGTCACTAATTAAAGCTCATTAATAGCAAGTCACATTCAGTTTGCTCATATTTATAGGACCTTTATAGTTTAGTAAGTGACTGGTAGCATGGCCCGCAAACCTTTCAAAAGACGTATTTTAAAAGTACTCAGTACTAATGAAAAACCTAGGTCAGGTGACCTATTACCTTCGTCTGTCTCCGGCAGCAGGGTAACTTGGATTTCACTGCTACTGCCTATTGAACTCAAGCGAACATATCCGTAGCAGAAGTCCGGTGCGCCGCTGCTAAAAGAAACTACTCCTTTCTTGCCATTGATAACAAAGTGGATATGGTTGGTCTTTAGGTCACGATGAACGCACAAGACACTTCCGGTCCCAATGTCTTTGTCATAGAATTGCACTATTTGTGAGGATGAACCATAACTTGTCCTGGAGTCAAACGGTTTGTTGAAGATTCTTCTATGCTTACTGTTCCACGCCCTGTAGTGAAAAAACGTAGAATCTCCTTATGGGCTCTTTTGTTGGTGGGNGGAGTGGTGCGGTGCGGTACGGTGCGGTGCGGTGCGGTGTGGTGGTGTAGTGTGGTGTACGTGCATGTGGTGTGGTGTTGGTGTGGTGTTGAGTGGTGAAGTGTGGTCTGGTGTAGATTGTCGTGGAGTGGTGTGGTATTTTTGTGGTCTGGTGTGGAGTGGTTTGGATTTATATTTACTGGTTTAGCCACAAGTGTAGGTTTTTTTTTAATTACTTTGGGACGTGGATTTAAATAACCAACAAAACATCAACCTTACACGCACTAGGATTAGCAACACTAGAAACATTACCTTTAATAGCAACAGACATAGCAGCGGTAGAAGCAACCGCTTCAACAGCAACTGCAGCG